CAAAGTATCATTAAAAAATGTTACAGTGGTGTTAATGTCATCATGTCTCAGCAATGCCTGCAAGTGGTACTGACTGCTGCAAGCAGACACTTTCTGCCTGAGGCCACATGTTTCACACTTTACTACATTCCCTGGTGTTGCTGGAAGCTTTTTGTTACATTTGCAACATTGGCGATAGCACATGAAATTTTGAACACCAAGGACTTCAGCATTTGTTGATGTTTGGGTGAAGTAGTCTGGCAAATCACCTGGTGAAGCTACTTCCTCTGGGAAAGGATCAGCTGGTGAAATGGAACAGTCATGCTTTGGTGTAGTAAGGTAAATGGAGTAGTTGTCATTATCCTTCGTCACTTTAAGGTTACAGAAGTTATATGTGTTGTCGTCTGCAACTTCTGTAATCAGGTCCTCCCACAGGGTTAGTTTGATTGATCCAGATGGATCTAGGAGGCAACAATCAGCTTTCGACTTCGTGCCATCTCTTGTGATTATTTTCTTCACTCCAGATAAGTGGACCACTTTGGCTTTGAGATTAATAAGCTGGTTATTGGTGACATTCGAGAGCATCGAGATGTTTAGAGTCGAGGGAATCTCTTCTCGTAGAAAAGTGACCTCCTTCAGTTCCTCTATTTGGACTCTTGCATTCATGAGAACACTGTCATTTTTAATAGTGAAGTTGCTAATCTTTACTGGGGACTTTTGTTTGCTGCATCTTTCAAAGTCAAGATGCTTGCTTGAAGAGAAACAGACTCCACGTACTTTGGTCGCTTCTGTTTGAATAAGCATATCAAAATAGCGAGTCTTGTTGGAGTGCTTAACAGGGGATACGTTATGAATGTATCCTGTTAGGTTGTTCATTGTTGTTGTCTATTACAACCGAGGTGTGTCTACCTGGAGAGCGAAGAGAAATAAATGGTATCAGTAACTGTGGGTTGTAGAACAGGTATCAAAGAAAACTGCAATCTGTATGTACTACAGGGCACAAAAGCAATAATCATAAAATAAACATACCTGGATATGTGTTGCATATCACATATCTGCAGATTACCCCTTAGATGTCAATCACAGTGCATGATTGGTATCTAAGGTGTACATTTGAGTTAATTTCATTTTTTTGTACTCATTAACTATGAATATTCTCTTTAAGACAAAAAGAAAAACACATGGAAGTTACAGTGAAGGTGACAAGAAAACCATAAAGGTCTATTTTTGAATCAATGCACAGATTGCTTTGTGATCAGAAAAATAAGTTTCTAAAATGTGTACATGGATTTGTGATTCAGGTAAATTAGTGTAGACATGGTCTATTAATAGTGGTTCTGTTATTAGTAGTAGAACATGATACCAGTTGTCTGTAACTGTGATCTCTTATAAATAGATTATAAAGAGGAATCTTGTCTTTTTCATTTAACCAATTGATATTGAAATCGCCAATGAAAACTTTGAAACCTGAAATATCAAGGGTAAGAAGTCCGATCAATGCTACACACATTTGTCTAATTGGCACTCTTGGTGACCGATATATGCCTATTATGGTAATATGTGGAACTGTTGTAACCTTAATGATAGTTATTTCAACACCACCAGTGTTGTTGCAAACTGGATATCCAGGTAGAAAAGGAATTTTACTGTACACTGCAGTTCCACCATAAGGTCTTGTATTGAAAACGTCAAGTTGACTGTCATTTCTAAATAGGGTATACCCAGTGATGCTGTAGTCAGTATCACTGTCTAAGTAACATAACCGTGTTTCTGAGAATACATTTACATCCATGTTTGAGTAGTTTAAGTCTTTTTGTATGTCCTCAATATGTCTATGCAATGACCTTGAATTAAGAAAACATATCTTAAAGGCTGTTGGATCTGTTTTATAAATTGGAATTATGGAAAGCTTGAGGTGCCGGTCTTTTCTTAAATGTTGCATTTCTGCTTTTACTTCAGGATTAACAACTATTTTGCTTTCACAAAGGTCAGTAATATACAATCCCTCAATGGTTGTTACTCTGCTCAGTCCTACATAATGTACATGAGGTATTGCTCTTCTGGTGTTAAAGTTAACAACTATTCTAGTTTCAGTGTCACCCTGTGATCTATGTATTGTTTTTGCTGCTGCAGGTCTAAGTGGAAACTGCTTTCTTACAACTTGAGCTGTTCTATTTCTTCCAACTGCAAATTGTGCAGTAACAGGTTTGATGGGGGTCCACGTGCATTCAATGCCATTGACATACACATGTCTGTTGTCATGTCTGGTTTTCTCACCAACATCCACATAGTCAAATTGAACCCAAATTATACCAGATGGTATATTTGTGTCATACAATTTTATCATCTTGATGATGCCGCCAGCACCATTTGTGATACCATCATCAGTTCTTACATTTATGGCTATTTCTATTCTTTCCCCTTCAGCAAGTTGAAGATTTGAAGCTAATTGCTTTGTTTTCCTGGGATCCAGTGGTATTTGCTTGAAGATTTTATCTCTGAGTTCTGGAGAATTTGCACCTATAACACTATCCAATGCTTTGATGGTATATTTGTCACCAGTAGCTGCCCTGTGAACTCTAATATTAAACTCGTCAACTTTTGAGTTTTGAATGAACAAATGAGGAACATCAATTGGGTAATTCATACAGTGTTCTGAAATGCATCTTTCTTTCAGTTTTGCAATATCATCTTGGGTGTGATTACCTTCTCTCAATCTATTTAGAATTTGAGCAAATTCTCTACTTTCCCTTTGTCTCATAATTTCGTCCAGTTCAAACATTGTAAAATGTTCTTGCCATAAATTGGGGGCAAGAGATCCATAATCTGAGTTCTTCATATCTTTGAACACATAACTGTCCATAACAGGTTCTAGTTGAAACAAATCACCCAATGCAATTATGCTAATACCTCCAAATACCTCTTTACTACCCTTGATATCCTTAAGTCTATTATTTATTTGGACATTTAACATAGTATTGCCTATCATTGATATTTCATCAAGAAATATAAGCTGAACAGCACGAAGTTTACATCTGAGGGTATTTAGTCTGCTTGAGTCAAGAGGTTTATATGTCTTTAGAGACTGGCATGCTGGTATTGCCAAGGCACTATGTACTGTGTTCCCTTTGATACCATAAGCAGCTTTTCCAGTAGGGGCAAGCAATAATATTTTAACTTCATTAAAGTTTTCCCCTGCTCTGGAATTATAATGTTTTACTGCTGCAAGTGATGGCATGGATCACCATATAACTGATGAGAAACAGCTCTAAAAAAACAGTCACCAGCACCCCCAACATCTAGGGGTCTCAATCCCAGCTGACGTAACCGAAAGTTTAACAATATGGTGGAACCAACTGATACTGTAGTTTCAGTGTTGACATTTACATGTAGTTGAGGGCCTGGATTTAATTCAATATCACCTGAAGTCATAAGCTTCATTCTTGATACAGAAAATCTTCTAGAATGGCTGCTTGATTTCTTTAAAAGCTTATTTACGATTGGTTTGCTTAGATTAACAAAGCTGGTGAAAAAACTGTCACATCTCTTAAGATATCTTATGTAACACAACTTATAGTCAGTAGCAAAGCTGTATAACCTTGAAGACTTAGGAATATATTTCCTAATGATGACCTTAAGTTTATATCTTGTTTTTCTTTTTTTCATAAACTGCACAATCCGTTTCATCGAGACCCTCGACGGCTCTCGGTTTCTACGTCGTTTCTTTTGTTTTTGGTCAGCTATTTTGAAATGTGTATCAATTTCATCTGTTCCACGTGAACACAACATATCCACATCAGTTGTTTTCGAGAAATCGCTTAAATACGTTTAATCGCATTTATACTGCTACTAACATAACTTTTTCTGTTCATATATACCACAGCTTTCGCAGATGTTTCGTCAGTCAAAGGAGTCTTTCCTTTAACATCAGTCAGGTTTCTCGCTCTTCTATATACATTTTGTGTAATCTCCAAACGGGCAGGCTCAATAATCCCCACAAGGGGCTCAATTTTCCCCACAAGGGGCTCAATTTTCCCCACAAGGGGCTCAATTTTCCCCAAAAGGCGCTCAATGTTTGCCTTTAAGGCCTTTTCTTTTCCCCAAATGGAGCTCACGAAGCTGAAGTTCTTTCCTTTACGCATCGTAAACAACACCGCAGCATGACTATTCTGTTGGCGTGGAGAGCATCGATCGAACACTTGAAAACATCCTTTAAAGTCTTTTACTCGACCACATTGACTCAAACTTCGAAAGCTGTGGCATACTGAGAAACCAACGTTATAGAAGTTCATCATAAAGTTTACAAGAGCAAAAGGACACTCACCAACTTTCCGAAGTGTGATCCACAAGTGTGAAATTCCTCCTTTCCTCAAGGCACGGGTAAAAGCACATGGTGGTCAAAGATCAGAGTCATCGTCATATTTTCGTCCCCGAATTCAATTGCTCCCGACTCTTCCTTGCGGTTTTCTACTTGAATCCAATTGGTCAACCGACAGTTTCCGAAATTATAACGATAAAATATCGACATGGTTACACATTCCACTGGTTGAAAATCAGTGTACACTTCATGTTATCCGTCACGTAAGGTAAACTATGAGTAAAACATCATATTTCGTGCTCAAATGTGGCGTATATAAAGTGCTTTTCGAATTCCGTACGCTCTTCCATCGTGTCTGCGTGCTAATGCACTAGACACAAAAACTTGCTCACCTTTGGAAACGATAAAACCAGCAGCAGAGGAAGTGCTGCGTTGAGATTAGGAAGGAGTACCAAGAACAATGGATGCGCGGGAAGTACAGTGGTCAACACTCACTGTGGCTTTGGTTGCAGATGACTGATAAACACTTAAAGAACTTGTGTGTGATGAGGTTGTGTCAAAGTGAAGGAAGAATGTATATTGTGTAAATTTCATCTTTTCGACTGAGGTGTTTTGTAAGTTCTATTAGTAGTTAGTTTGTTGTGAGTTGGTATTGTTACGGTTGTGAATAGCACATAAGTGGTTTTTAACTTAAACCGGGAGTACTAATTAACAGGAGGTCGACGAATTAACAAGGGAAGGAGTGGGCGTAGGAGAAGTTGATGTGTGAGTGGTGGCTGAAGGGGTCGTGCAACTATCCATGGAGGGTACAGGCAAAGAAATACCAAAGCTCCAGTCATGACGGGCGAGCCACAGCTTTCGGCGCTGGCCGCTTCCGTAAAGAGACGGTTTACGCGGAATAACACCAATCTCTTTCTTTAAATCCAAGGGAAGGTTATTAAATGAAATTCCCAATTGCTGTATCTTAGCGTAAGGCATTTTACTTCCTCTGTTTCCGACAAGTTCACCTACAAAAGACAAAGACAGAAATTGACTGGAAAAAAAAACGAAGCTAAAAGTCACTCCTTGTTGCGTTGAATATGACACTTATACAGAAATCATAGCCATAGATAAAGGGAATTACCACATCAATACATTAAAAGCAGAAATAAAATTTATATTGGGAAAGAAGACTGACTTTTTTTTCGTATTGCAACAAATCACAGAAAAGGCAGAAGCTGAGTGTAAAACAGCTATTGACCCCTTAAATGCTTCAAATAGTAGTTTATGGAGATGTAGTTTTCAATCATGGGTCAACTGAAACTGAATGCGGCCATTTCAGTGGAAAGAGAAAACAAAGATATTTTTCAATAATTTGGAGGAACATCAGCTAGATCTTCGAAGACCTTAATCCGCACGTGCATGGATAAAGGCAAATATATGCTATAAAAACGCATACTGTATTTGAAGTTGAACACTTCTTGTAGATGTTTTACTGACACGTCTTGCTTTTCCACCAGGGAATTACCTATAAAATAAGGACCTATTTTCACTGGAAATATAATGCTTTCTTTTCTAAGTTCTTAAGAAACGAGATGCTTGGTGTAATAAGTTGTTGATCTAAGCATCAATGTAGTGAATTTCATTGAGATTCATTTATTGTTTTAATATATTGAGATTATATTGATATTTAAGAACATAGATGTACACTTAGAGTAACAGAAATTGAGTACCGGGACTACTGCTCTCGATAACTTTTTTTTGAGGTTCTGTTTATGTTTTGAGTGCAGGAATGAAATGCAAATTGGAATTAACAGGTAATTGGTTTTACTAATTGTTTTTCTTTTTTTCATCAACTCATGTATGGAAAAATCCAATTCACAAATTCTCAAGCGCAAAAATTTGCAGAAAGATTTCAACATTACAAGTAAAATTAGAATGAGCTTCTGAAAGTATATATCAAGAGTAAAGTGCTAATTAATGCATATCTACAGTCAGTACTCACAGTGTAATCTACTTGCAAATGTTTCCATGATGTTTGTTTTTAAAAGGCTGTCACCAATCCCAGCTGAACCTTGGTAACAAACACCATCATAAGCACATAACATCAGTGCATGACCACCAAGTGTTTCCAGTTCTGCAACCTGTGTAAAACATTGATAAGGATTGGTAACAATTAGAAGAACCAAATAAGTGTGATAACATATATACTCATTACTTAAGCAATGTCAGTTTGTTTAGTGCTGGATTAAAGTTGTATTCCATGATGGGAGTGTATGGTGACAAACATTTAATTACATGAAAATTACTGAGCTTGCATACTTAGAAAGTTGTGTAAATCAAGGAAAAGAAAAAACCCAAAAAGTAAGATATTTAAAACAGGTAATTATGAGTAAGTTTAAGAATAACTTTCATTGTTTATTAAGAGCTTGCTGAGACACCTGGTGACCAACTGTAAAATTATAAGAAAGGGGAAAATTTTTGGCATATCTTAAATTACAATCCACACAGATAAATATCATAATTTTATTTGACAACAGTCAATCTACCAGTAATATAAATGTAACAATAAGAAAACTGATAAATTAATGCTGATCAATTAAAATCAATGTCGAACAGAAAAATTCAATACGAAATGCTTGTTTGCTATTATAGCACAATTTAAGACCAGTTTACAAATTAAACAAAATCATAAGGTCAGTAAATGTATTGGGTATATCATTTCAAGAACTTGTCAATCCAGTCTTTATACAGCTTGGTGAGTTGAACTTGGTCATTTATAAACCACAAAGTTCACATCACAAAATGTGATAAATATCATTGTAAGTTTGTAATAATGATGATGATAATGACTATGATTATTACTAGCTGACCTGTTTCATGATGTTGCCAATTATCTTCTTGGCTTGTTTATCAGCTGAGGGTAGTGACACAGCTGACCCTGAATCTGTTGCCACCTTTTTGTAGGCATCTCTCTCTGAGTCAGACAAGTTCCTCCACTTTTCTCCGATGGTGCGAAAGACCTCTGCACTTCCACCAGTTTGTTCTGTGGAATAAAAGGACATGATGCATTTTTCAACTTAAAAGGTAAGATGTAAAGCACAAATTTAGCTAGATCAAGAATGACTACCTTTGTGGAGAAACTCCCTTGTGAAAGCATTAAAGCCACTTTGTTTCCTCACTAGTTTCTTTTCTGTCCTCTTGTGTCCATCAAGCACTCTGGAACCACTACTACACTTCGCATTGTGGTTGTTTATCCAGTGCTGACCAGAAAAAAAAGTAATGTTTCACACTAAAAGAAAAAACCAAGAAAAGTAAAATTCTAACTGGTTTAGCAGTTTGACAAACAAGAAAACTTTGAACTAACTGTCACTGACAACACACATGCAGTCACAGCTACTTTAGGGCTGACACTCAAAAAGTCAACTTTGAAACACTTTATGATGGTAAATTCATATTATCAACTCAGTAAATAAAACAGAATTTTCTTGCTATATTTCCCCACAAATGCAGCACCACAGGTTCTTTAGAAACTTTCTCTCTTTATTCAATTGGAAAAATATATTTTCCAGTTACTTTATCACATTAATATGACTTAAAACAGTTAGATGACATTGTACAGTAGCTAAAAAGGCTATTGAAAAAAGGAAACTGTTATTATATGCTTTAATTTGCAAAGTCTGGGAGGAGAGATCTGTGCATGCAGTCCCATAATATTAAAGTTCTGAGCTTCTTCAAGATCTCTAAAAGTATTTCTTTTTGTATCTATATTGTGTGGTACAAATACCACATCAATTTTGTCTATCTTAAAATACTGAAAAAGATGCAAAATAACAAATAAAAACAAATTGAAAGATAGAGAGACACAGAGAGAGGAGAGGGAGAGAGAGAGAGGAAAAAAATAGCGATAGCAAATGAATAAAAAACATGTAAATCTAAAGCACCCCAATGACTTTTGTCAATGCGGTACTCAGAGAACTATCTTAGTCGATCGTAGGTAGTTTTAGATGGTTTTCACAGGAAAAAATGACAGATTCCCATATTGGTAATTAAATGGGATATTAATGGGTTTCTAAAATAATCCCAAGAAAAACCCAAACATTGCCTAAATTGGGAATGTGAGAATGTTCCCAATGTCCATCTTGTTGGGTATTGTAGATTCCCATTTTTGGGTATTCTACAATATCCCAGAATTGGGAATCGCCTTCAAAAATGGGATTTTCATGGGAAACAAAAAGGGAATTTATAGCAATTTCTACTTTCCAAATTGGGAATTCAAATTGTTTTATGTTGGGTTATTTGAAAATTACCAATTAAAACCCAAACATAACTTGAAATGGGAATTCAAGAATATATAAGTCCCAATTTCTACAATTGTTTGGGATTATTGAATTCCCAATTTTTGAATATTTTCAGCTCTTCCACCATTGGGAGCTCTGATTTTCATCAAATAGGCCTTTCTTGGAACTGAAGCTATACCAACAGTAGTAATTTATAATTTTAAGATAAACCTTCCTTAAACAAAAGATTTAGCATCAAACTTCTCACATATTACATCGCTAATAATAGCTGAGACAAGCTAATTTAATATATATAAGAATTCCAGTATGTTTGAGGAAGGTTTTTCATACATATTGATTTGTCTACAAGATAAGGATGAAACCCTCTCTGTGTAAGCCAAGAAGTAATGTAACTTAACCAACTTTCCATTTTATTAGGACAATGCAGTACAAAGCAGATGTTGCCATTAAAAGTATTACAATAAAACAATATATTTTATAACAGTGCAATAATAAGTAGCTTATATATATAATTGGCTTTCTGCATCAACTAGTGTTGAAAAAGCATCATGAGGGCTGTCAAATGCTAAGTATAACTAGGCCAGTGATGTGAAGTCAGTTGACAATAAAACAATACAAATTTTACAACTATAGTCTTGAAGTTTATTATAAATCTGAATACATGATTAATAGTGGAGTCCTAAATTTGCTATCAGAAACATTTGAGAAATCTGGCATGCTTAAGGATCAATGACCTGCCAACTGACTCCACACCACACAAAGTAGTTATCCAAAGATAGATGTTGAAAGATCTGGAGCTGGCTGAACATGGTGTGTATTACTAAAGCCAGCTATAATTCAACTTTGTCAAGATGTAGAAATCAACTCAATGCATTCCTTGCATATCACTATACTTTGTGTGCACGCATAAAACGGTACGACAACACAAACTTGAACACGCGTACTTGTAATTATGAAATGGACTTTACAATCTTGAACGAACGTTGTACGGTTTCGAAAACTAAAAGGAAACAAAGGAAATTTACAACTATAAATACGGAAAAAGGCTAGACAAACAAGAAACGAAACCAAAAAAAAAACTTACGTTTGTGTCCTTATAATATAAACGATGACGTTAAACGGGCGTTGAAACGATTCTCCACTTCGATCGAGCACATGTATTTTTTAACTCGCAGCGCCTCTCGGGATCTAGCTAATGAGTGCGTGACATCACGCATAACGGCAGTAACATTCCCGACCCCTTAAGCGATGCTTAACATGGAAAGTTCTTAGCTACAAAATAAAGTAGTAATTATGAAAAATAACTTGTCATGTCCTTTGCTAAAGCTAACGAGTCTAGTCCGTCACACAATCCGCTTAAAGAAATAGGGACTATGAATATTCCATGAAGGTTCAGCCCTTACGAGCTTCCTGTTTCATTGTTCATTATCGAGGCACGATTGTTCTTCCTTAGCTAGCAAGAGGACAACCTTGTCAACTGGTCTGCGTAGTTGGGAGGTTTGGGTCTTCAAATGAACCGTGCGTACCAACCCCTTCTTGTCTGATTCCGCGCTTATGACTCGTCCCATCGGCCAAACACTCCTCGGGCAGTTGTCGTCTTTCAACAGGACAACGTCTCCGACAGCTAGATTCCGTTTGGGACTGTTCCACTTCGAACGAGGTTGGAGAGTTGGGAGATATTCTCTCTTCCAACGCGTCCAAAATAAGTTTGCCAAGTACTGCACTCTCCGCCAGCGCCGCCTCATATAGACATCTGCGCGTTGAAAAACTCCTGCTGGGGGAAGTACAACGCTGGTTTTCATCGTCAGGAGATTGCTGGGACTTAGTGGGTTGAGGTCATCGGGATCACTCGAAGCGAATGTTAGCGGTCTCGAGTTAATGATAGCTTCAACTTCACATAGTAGAGTTCTAAAGGATTCGTCATCCAGACGGGAGCCATGCTCATGGAGTAGAACAGTGAGTACTTTGCGGGTAGTGCGAATCTGCCGCTCCCAAATGCCGCCCATGTGGCTGGCACTCGGTGGGTTGAAAATCCAATCTGTACCCTCTAGATGCAGCCTGCTTCTGATTTGCTCGTTGTTCATTTCGTAAACTGCTTGCTGTAACTCTGTCTTGGCGCCTACAAAATTTGTTCCGTTGTCGCTCCGGATCTCTCGGATAGGCCCACGACGAGCAATAAATCGCCTCAGAGCCTGGATAAATGAATCTGTTTCGAGAGAATTGGCGGTCTCAATATGCACTGCTCTACTTGCTAAACATGTGAAAAGGCATCCGTACCGTTTGAGTCCCTTTCGACCTTCTTTGATCATGTACGGACCGAAGTAATCCACGCCAGTATACGTAAATGGTGGGGCTGGAGTCACTCGGTCTTTAGGCAAGTCAGCCATTTTCTGTTCAGCGACAGGGGCACGATTACGGCGACAAGTAACACAATTTGCGATTAGGTGACGAACAGCAGAATTGGCACCGGTGACCCAGTACTTCTCCCTCAATTTAGCAAGTGTGTGACCGCGGCCTGCGTGTGCTAGGCGTTCGTGTAGGCGTTTGATAATCAAGTTCGTAACGTGACTCTTGCGAGGTAAGATGATGGGGTGTTTCGTTTCTTCTGGAAGATCGTCAGCGCGGCTAAGGCGGCCACCAACACGAAGGAGGCCTTCATGAATGTAGGGATCCAGCCGAGTTAGGGAACTTGCTTTCTTCAGCACCATTTTCTTTTGCTTTGCCCGACCCCGTTCGTCTCCACCGCCTTTGTCACTGACTTGTCTGAGAGCGTCAAACTCTCTACTGAAGGACTGCAACTGTACGAAGCGAAGGATGGCCATCTCGGCCTCTTCAAACTCTTGAACTGAGAGCGGTGCGCAGCAGTCACCCACTACCTTCGTTTCAGCTTGTAGTGACTTCACGCCCGACCTTGCCTGACCATGGTCCGAATCTATCTCGAGAGAACCCTGGCCTCTAATCTCCTTCCGTTTTCGCAATACAGCCTTGATTCTAAGGAATGCGGCCACCGACAATCTCAGGCGATACCAACTCGAGTGGTATTCTATTAGCTTGTTAACTGACGTAGCCGTGGCTTCCATTACCATGGTACCGGCGGAAGCAACTTTTCTGACCTCAGGGTCGTCATCTGGGACCTCACCGACTGGAAAGGGCTGCTGCGGCCAGTCCTTTTCTGATTTCCCTAGGAAGTGTGGACCATTTGACCAGCGTTGCTGCTGCAGAAGTCCAGCGGCGGAAAGTCCTCTTGAGGCATCATCTGCCGGATTGCTACTGGTGTCCACGTATTTCCACTGCATAGGACTAGTGAAGTCCCTGATCAATTGCACACGATTTGCCACGAATATCTGAAACCTCCTCCGCTCGTTTCTTATGTAGCGGAGAACCGTCGTCGAGTCGGTGTGATAGATGATAGACTCAGGCTTAACTTCAAGCTCTTCATACAGCATTTGTCCCACGCGAACAGATACGGTTGCTGCAGTTAATTCTAAGCGTGGGACTGTTACGGCCTTAATAGGTGCAAGACGAGCCTTCCCCATTAAAAAGGAACAATGTATGCGACCCATGTTATCCATTAGACGTAGGTAGGCAACGCATCCATACCCCACCTGGCTTGCATCGGAGAACAGATGGAGCTG